CATAATATCATGATGTCTCAAGAGATAGATAAGGAAAGGTAATGAAGGGGATGCCCCAATGACGAGCACGATGTCGTTGAGAAGGGCATAGGCGAGGACTAAAACCGATGGCCAAGACCAGGCTAATGAGGTAGGAGGAGGAAAGGGACGACGAACGACGACGATGACAACGACAAGGAGAAGGAGGTCGGATCAAAGTTGGGTAGCACGGTAATCGAGCAGGAGGATGAAGGGGGTTGAGGGAATCAGGCTTTGGATGAACGGGGTAGAAAAGGAGAGGGATGGATGAGTAGTGAGGTGATCAGCCGAAGGAGGCAGGAATCGCGAGCGGGACTGGGCGAGGAAGGGGTGGTGACCTGCAAGAGCAGGATGGGCGAGCTTCCTGCAGGTCGTCGAGCTGGCCAAGAAGTACAGACAGGGCGCGGTGTACCGCTTCGGTGCCCTCGGAAGCGGCGATGAAGAGGATGGCCCGCAGTTCCTCTTTGCCGTAGGCCTGGTTTCCGCTGCCGTCGCAGCCGACGTAAACGCCATGAACATAAACTTTTGGCGCTACACGCGGATGTCTTCGACTGGCGCATAGGCCCCCCCGGCGGCGTCTCTGGCAGTGGCGCCCCCCTGGCGCGCTCCGCGCGCCAGGGAGGGGGTCCAGCGCAGATCCGAGAAACCCGCGCGGAGCGCCAACAGCTTAGGTGTATGCTGTGTCTTCTTTCCTAGTGTATCCTCGTCCTGGAGTGTATCCTCGTCCTGGACAGCAGGGCCCTCGCTGATCCTCACCCGAGTGTCTCCTCACCCGAGTGTCCTCGTTGCTCGCTTTTTCTGGTGATCCTCACCCGAGTGTGTCCTCGTCCTGGGCAGCAGGGCCTCCGTCGATGCTCCGCGTGCGGCCCCCCCTCGGCGGCGGCGGGGCCGCACGCCGCGGCCGGCCAGGACGGCGCCCGCTGCGGGGCGCCCTTCCTGCGCCAGACGGTGCCGGCGCTGCTGGGCGACACGGAGGCCGACGTGCCCGTGGAGCCGACGCCGAGGCGGCGCCGCGGTCGTTCTCCAAGGGCGCCCTCGAGGGCGCGAAGTTATTCGCGCTTCGCGGTTCGGCTCCGATTCCTCCTCATCCTCCTCTTCTCCCCTGGGAGGCGGCGCGAGAGCGCGAAGTTATTCGCACTTCGCGCTTCGCGCAGCGCGAAGCGCGAAGTTGGGAGCCCTTGTTCTCGGAGGGGGTCATCCGCAGGTGCCATCTATACACCACCACCGTGTCCGACCAGGTGGCGAGGGCCACCCTGGGCTCCACGATGGTGTGTAGACCCGTCTGGCCTCGGCCGGGAGGCGTGCACACCATGCCAGCGCCCAGGGGCGGCCCTGGCGAGGAAGGATGGTGGTGTAGAGCTGCCTGCTGCGCAGACCAGGACGAGAAGGAAGTCCGATATGGCCGACGAGGACGTTCTTTGTGTTTTCAGCTCAGGGCCAGGGATAGGGGGCAACGCGTTACTCTTAGGGGGGCTTGGAGGTTCGAGGCTTGAGGTTTTCGGGCGTTCTCCGCGGCTCTCGGCGGTCTCCTGGCTCCGGGACGCTTCCCAGCAGCCGCGCCTCGCCGAGAGCGCTTCTGGTGGAGGCCAGACTCGTCCCGAGCGGCCGCCAGACAGCCGAGGTGTGGCACGAGAGCTAGCGGACGCGGGGCTGGGCATACAGGGAGGGCGCGTCGACCCCACGTCGCCCATGGATCGCCGGTAGGGGCCCGATAGCCCCAGTCGGTTTCACGATCGGGGGCACATCGCCGATCTGTCGACGATGCATCGTCGATTCTAGGTCGATGCAGGCCCCCCCTGGTGCCAGCCCCACCCGCAAGCTCACGCGCATGCTAATGTCTGTTCCCCGAGCCACGGACCGGCCTGGCTCGAGAGTTTTGTTGTGCAGAGATCAGAGGTTCGGTCGTCGGAGGTTCTGTGGGAAGTCGGAGCAGATGGGGGTGGTGGCTGCGGGGGATGAGCGTTTTAGGAGGGGAAAAACACACAGGCACAATGAATCGTCGATTCCCCAGAAAATACGGGAAAATGTGGGAAGTGGGCGGGAAGACAGAGACCCAGAACATATGGGAAACATCTGGGGGATCTGTTTATCTGTGTGTATTTATTTGCGCGTCCTGGGGCCCCTTCAATGTAGGGGTGCCGGCCGGCCGACCCCGATGGCACCGGCCCCAAGGTGTGTCGGGTGGCCACGCTCGCGGCGTGGCGCTCACAGCCTCGCTGGTGATTCCCTCGTTGTGATGGCTCCAGTGGCAGCTCCCGCCTCTCCTTTTCTCCTCCTTTTCTCCTCCTCCTCCTCCTCCTCCTCCTCCTTTCCTCCTCCTCCTCCTCCTCCTCCTCCTCCTCCTCCTCCTCCTCCTCCTTCTCTCTCTCTCCCCCTTCTCCCCCTCCCCCATCCACCTCCTCCTCCTCAACCGACACTGTCGCCACACCCAGACCTCCAGAACTCCTCCTCCTCCTCCTCCCCCCCTCCTCCCTTGAGGACGCGCCGCCTCCACCTTCTGATCCTCATCCTCAATACCTCCGATAGACCGCGCTCGTGGGGCCCGACAGACTAAAAGGGGGGCCCCAGCTTGAAGCTACCCCCCTCCTCCCTTCCTTGCTAAAGGGGGGGGGGGGGGGCTTCGGAAGCCCCCCCCCCCTCCCCCCTTTTCGTGGTCCGGAAAGGGGGGGGGCTTCCAAGCTACCCCCCCTTCCCTCACTTTAATTGAGCCGGGGTGAGCCCCCCCCCCCCTTTGAAAGGAGGGGGGGGCTTCGGAAGCTACCCCCCCCTCCCTTTTCGTGGCCGGAAAGGGGGGGGGGGCTTCCAAGCTACCCCCCCCCTCCCTCCTTTTAATGGAGCTGGGGTGAGCCCCCCCCCCCCCCCCCTTTGAAAGGGGGGGGGCTTTGGAAGCTCCCCCCCCCTCCCTCCCTTGGTGCAAAAGGGGGGGGGGCTTGAAGCTCCCCCCCCCTCTCCTCTTTGGCTCGTGTGGGGGAGGTTTTTCATTCGAGCCGTTGTTTGGCGGCCCCGAGGCCCGCTGAGCGCCTCTGGAGGCCGAACATGTCCAGAAGCTTCCGCCTCGATTTCTGTTGCAAGGCGTCGGAGGTCTGGGCCCCGGGGCCCGTCCCGGCCGATCTCTCCTCTCCCTGTATGGGGGACAGGCCCGACTTAACTCAGGAGGGGGAAAACACACACAGACACAATTAATCGTGGATTTCCCAGAAAATATGCAAAAATATGGGAAGTGGTGGGGAAGACAAAAACCCAGAAAATATGGGAAAATATGGGGGATATTGTTATTTGTGTATATTTATTTGTGTGTTCCAGTTCCCCCCCAGTTATTTATTTGTGTGTTCCAGTGCGTCGGCGCCCGGAGCTCCGTGCGGATTTCGCGCATCGGCGCCTGACCCCAACGGCGGCGCCTCCGACGCGCCGCCCCCCTGGCGCGCTCCGCGCGCCAGGCATTGGGGGTCCAGCGCCGATCCAGCACAGTCCGCGAGGGCCTCCAAAAAGTTTGTGCTTATGCCGTGAGCCGCCGAGCGCGTTCCGCTGCTCACAGAGTGCCTGCTCGCAAACGTGCGAACAGCGGATGCCTGCTCCGATGTAGCTTCTCGTGGATCTCCCCCGGCGGATCCGGGCCATTTGCGAGCAGTCGCCTTGCGAGTAGTGGAACGCGCTCGTCTAGTGAAGTTGTTCGATCCTCTGTTGCAGCGTGTCGCCGCCGCCGGCTCTGGCCCGCCACGCGGCGGCGCGGGGCGCCAGAGGCAGCTCCAGCTGTGCGATCTCTCTGCAGCCTGCCGCCCCCTTGGGGGCAGAGCGACACGCCGTTCGCGCGTCGCTGGGCCGCCAGGGCCGCCGCTGCGGCACGCTTGCAGCGGGCGTTCCTCGCCGCAGACATCGCCCCGTGCCTGGCCAGAGGTATCCTGGGCCCAAGGACTGCATATATACATTTATGCAATATATGTATATTTACATACACGGATCAACATATTTCCCCAATCAGAGCTTGCTTCTGTAGGGGTCCTAGCGGGTGTAATGAGGTGAGGTGAGCGGCCGATTTCGGTGCCCGGGGCCGGGTGCCCGGGTGCCAGGGGGTGCCCGGGTGGCCGATTTCGGTGGCCGGGCCCGGGTGCCTGGGTGCCCGGGTGCCCGGGGGTGCCCGGGGGTGCCCAATAGCCCAGTAGCCCTATAGCCCTATAGCCGTATAGCCCTATAGCCTTATAGCCCTATAGCCCTATAGCCCCATAGCCCATATAGCTCTATAGCCCCATAGCCCTATGGCCCTATGGCCCTATAGGTCACAGTCCTATAGCCCTATAGCCCGATAGCCCTATAGCCCTATAGCCCGATAGCCGTACAGCCCTATAGCCCAATAGCCCTATAGCCCTATAGCCCTATAGCCCTAACAAGAATCTGATTGGATTTTTTCTCCGGTATCATTACACATACTTATATATACATACACATAGATCGACACATAGGTATACATATGTACATATATATACACGTATAGCTGCACTGATGCACTGAAAACCTACCCCTCAGCCGTTGAAAGTAGGTCGTTTGGGATTCCCAGTGCCCAATCTGCTTCAGCCGCCTTCCTACTTCAAGAGTCGAATGGTTTTCCCTCTTCCCTCTTCTACAGGAGGCAGGCGGAAACCCAATCTACTTCCAACGCCTTTCTACTTCATGGTTCTACCTGCTTCTTTCGGCCGATGGGTATACGCATACAGAACTAGTCCGGTACAACTTCGGGTGCGGCTGGGGAGGCTGATTCCAGAGCGCCGACGGCCCAACGGGCTCCCCAGATGGCCCAAGTGGGCCCGAAGACGACTCCCAAGAGGCGCCTAGGAGGCAACAGTCATGGGTTTTCCTTAATCAGGTTGCAGTGCTATTTTCGCGTACGCGGCTTCTCGGTCTCCAGAGCGCTCCAGACGGCCCAGGAGGGCCCTAAGACAGCCCCCAATTGGGCCCCGAGACCGCTTCAGAACAGCCCCAAGGGGTCCCCAAGATCGCCCTGACGGACCTCCGTAGCCATTTTGGCTCAAGCCATTTGGTTCAATTCATCGGTTCAAGCATTGTGGCCCAGACAAGACCGTCGTGGGTCGCGACGGGACGCCACGGCGATGGATCCAAAGGTTCAGCCCTTCAGTCCCTCGACCGGTGCACTTCTCACCGTAGACCCGGCATTCACCAAAGCTCTCAAATATTTCCCATGGCTGAAGGCTGTCATGTGGGTGCAGTGGGTCGCCTTCACATTGTACTTGTTTACGTTGCCCCTTTTGTCAGATGCGATGAACAACGGTGTTCGTTTAGGTGGCATTCAAATAATTGACCCAATGTGGCCGAAGTTATGCAAAACACCTGCAGATCAGATTCACTGCGGATCCCTGCAGAATTATACAGAGATTGCTGTTGCGCTCGGGAGGCAGGTCGATGGGCAGTACGTGGGGTGCGGATGTGGCGAGGGCGTTCTGGGTGACAATGCGTGCATGGTCAACATTCCGCAGAACTACCTTGCCGGGAAGCCGGACGGTTTCAGCGTCAGCTACTACATCGGGACAGGACCCGGTACGGGGAGCATGGCCGCCTTGAGCAGCCTTCCGATCCTGGGAATGTGGGGATACGGTCTTGGCAGCTACGATCAGTGGCTGCCCAATGCAGGCCCGTGTTTCGGGTGGTATCTCGGGAGAGCGGTGGCGGCAACGCTGACGACGTTCCAACTTGCATATGGCGGGTTTCTGATGTGTACATTTTGTGTTTACCCGACTATGCATTTTGCGTTCGTGGGCACCTTCATTGCGTCCTTGGCTTTGCACTTTGTGCTGATCGCCGTGATCATCTGCTATTCTCGCAGTAAGACCGCGATGGACAGCAGGCTCTCGCTCGCGATCATGGTCATAACCGTGCTGGGATCTTCGCTCATGGTGATTGGAACCTTGTGGCCAACGAGTCCGTCTTGGATGGGGCAGCACGCCTTTTGGCTGGCCGAATGCGTGGGACTTTCGACTGGCTCCCTGATCGGGCCGCTGGTCTTCACGTATGGGAGCACCGACGAGAGCACCACTGCCGACGATGCGCTCCTCCATTCCGAGTCCTAGCTGATGCGGGCAGCTGGCGGAAGCCGCGGTGGTGTGACGAGGCGTTCTCGGTGCAGCGCTCCCGTGAGTTCAGCGGACTCGCAAGGGAGGAGCGCCAGTCGAGCAAGCTTGTCGGTTGCCAGGCATTGTGTAGGGCATGGGTGAACAAATGGTCTAACAGCCAGGCAGCACAACATTTACACATGAACGGCATTGGAACTTGTTGATATCCTGTTCTCTCCCTCTGCGTTTAGGCCAGCGCGCCGCCTTTTCCGCTGGGGCGGAGCCTCGCGGTGGAGCCTTGGCGAGAGCGAAGCTGCTTTCCCCCCCCCCCCCCCAAAAAAAAAAAAGATCGCCCTGACGGACCAAGACTTTCTCAGAGGGCTCCAGACAGCCCAGGTGGCCCCCAAGTCGGCCTGAAAATTGCCTCAAGAGACCCCGAAGAGAGCCCGCTCGGGACCCTGCATTAGTACGGCGACGGTCAGAACATCAATATGCACATCTACATCTACATCTGCATCTACATCTACAACAACATCAATATACACGTATACATATACATACGCAGATGCATATGCATATACATATGCATATACATATGCATATATACATACATACACATACACACACACATATATACACATATCTATATACATATACACATACATAAACATATGTATATACATATACATATACATATACACATACCTGTACATATACATATACATACATCTACATATACATCTACATATACACATGCATATACATATACATACACATACACATACACATACACACACATACACACATACACATACACATACAAATACAAATGCATGCGTACATACATATGCATGTACATATACATATGCATATACATACGCATATACATATATACATATGCATTCGCACATACATCTACACATGCAGATACATAAACATATACATATACAGTTATACATCTTGCATATGTGTATATATATACATGTATATAGCATACATACATACAAGCATGCGTGCATGCGTACACACATGCATAGACATATGCATGCATGCATACATACATACATGCATTCACGCATGTATGCATGCATGCATACAGACAGACCGACCGACAGACAGACAGACACAACGACCCACGATCATGTATACATACATGACATATATATGATCTATATATACATATATATGTATATATTGTGCTGGCCTCCGGCCAGTGCCGCCGATCTGGGGCGCTCCGGATAATGATGATGATGATAATGATGATGATGATGGATGATGATGATGATGATGATGATGGTGATGATGATGATGATGATGATGATGATGATGATGATGATGATGAAGAAGATGACGATGGTGATGGTGATGGTGATGGTGATGGTGATGATGACGATGATGATGAGGAGGAGGAGGAAGAGGAGGAGGAGGAGGAGGAGGATGAGGAGGCTGGTGGTAGTCCAGGTCGGATCGGCGGCCAAAAGGGGGAAGGGGGGGGGCCTACAAGCCCCCCCCACTTTGGCACAAAGGGGGGGGAGGGGGGGGGGAGGGGAAGGGGGGTGGGGGCGGGGGCGGCGGTCAAAGGGGGGGGGGGGGGGGGGAAGGTTCCAAGCACCCCCCCCCCATTGCACCGGAAAGAGGGGAGGGGGGGGGGTAGGGGGGGGGGGGGGGGGTAGCTTCAGCAGGCGGCGCCAAGGAGGGGGGGGGGTAGCTTAAGCCCCCCCCCCCCCCCCCCCTTTGGAAAGGGGGGGAGGGGGGGGGGTTTTTTTTTTTTTTTTTTGGGGGTAGCTTCCGGGGAGGGCTCAAGGGGGGGAGGGGGGGGGTAGCTGTAAGCCCCCCCCCCCGTTGCAAAAAAAAGGGGGGGAGAGGGGGGGGGGGCTTCAACAAGGGCGGCTCAAGGGAGGTGGGGGGTAGCTTAAGCCTAGCCCCCCCTCCCCTGTGCTCGGGCCCTGTGGGCGCGCTCTCTCATACCTCCTTTCCCCCTCATCTCGCCGTGAAGGAACGGGGTCATGAGGGAAACCAGCCCAGGGCCCACAGGACTTTGCCCAGGAACAGCTCTTCCTCCCGAGCAGTGGTTTGACGGTCCCGGGGCCCGTGGGAGGGCTCCAGGGACGCAAGCATGGCACGGGAAGTCCAGGTTCCGTTCTCTCCAGTAACCGTGTTTTTCATGTTGATAGTCTCCCTTTCTTATTTCCCTGCTTCCCTGCAATTGGGGTCAGGAGGCTGTGTGACATCACTGGTGCAATTCAAATGTACCCTCTATGTATATCGTTCCACTATTGCTGGGCTCGAAGAGAGCTTCGTCGCTGCGACCATGAGGAGGGGAAGGCTTGGGATAGGGCGACGGAGAAGACATGAGGAGGGGGAGGAGGCGGAGGAGGACGATGAGAAGGAGCAGGAGCCTATGACCAGCCCGTCGTCTGGAGGTCCTGCAGGAAGACGGCGTATCTTTGTCCTTTTGTGGCTCCTCATACCTGTCTTCATATCCAATCCTCCCCCTCCAAAATACATGTCCTACACATCCTCCGCCTCCTCCTCCTCCGGCTCCCCCTTTACCTCCTCTTAATTCTTGGTGCTCTTCCTCGTATTCGTCATCGCCTCTCCTATCATCAAAATCACCACCATCATCGTCAGCACAACCATCATCGGTGTCGTCATCATATGTATCAGCGTCGGCATCCTCATCCTCATCCTCATCGCCACCATCATCACCAGCATGAACATCAACACCCCCCTGTGTCCTCCTATTCAATTCTCTCGTCCTCTCCCTTCTCTTGCTCGTGATGCTACTCCGCCTCGCCATCCTCCTCGCTCTCGCTTGCCCCCGCAGGCCTCAGGAGGCCTCCTCGGAGGCATCCAGGCACCCAAGACCGGCGGGAAACGCCCCCAAGCACATCGCTCTTTGACCCTCGAGCTTCGACCCGAACCTCCCACGAGTTCTCGATCCTCGAGCACCGAACCACTCCGTCCCCGCCTCCTTGGCTCCACCGCCCCTTCGACCCTCGACCCCTTCGATCCCCGCCCCCCGCCGGTCCTCGGACCCCCCGACCCCGTCGGACGCCTTCCCTATGCCTCCGAGCGGAGGTCCGAGGAGAGGAGGCTGGAGGGTTGCGCCGCATCGCCGCGGCATCGGCGATGCGGCTCGATGTGGAGACCGTGCTTCCCCACGCCGACGTCGCCGAGGCATCGCCGAGGCATCGCCGAGGCATCGGCGACGTGGCGCGATCCTCCGGCCGCAGCTGCTCCGACCCCACCCAGGAGGCCTCCATCCTCGACCTTCCGCCCGCGACCCCGGCGATCCCCCTCCTCCGCCCTCCTCCTCCTCCTCCTCCTCCTCCTCCCCTCCTCCTCCTCCTTCCTCCTCCTCCCCATAATTCCTCGACGTTCGTGCGCGCCCTCCTCCTCCTCCTCCTCCTCCTCCTCCTCCTCCTCCTCCTCCTCCTGCTCCTGCTCCTTCCCTCCTACTCCTCTTCCCCGAGCCCCTTCCGGAGCCTCGACCCCCCCTCACCCCCTCCGATCTCCGAGGCACCCCCCCCCCCCGGCCCGCGCCCGCGGACCCCCCATCGAGCCTCGGAGGGGCCCCCCTTCTCCGGGCCACCTCGACCCCCTTCCGCTGCGGCTGCGCCGTGCTCGGGCCATTACACCCATGTTGCGGATACTCGCTCCTCCCCTGGAGCTCCTCGCTTTTTTCTCTCTTCTTTTTTTTTTTTTTTTTTTTACTTTTTCTTTTTTCTTTTTTGTTTTTTCTCTTTTTTTGTTTTTTATTTTGTTTGTCTTTCTTCTTTTTTCTTTTCCTTTTTTCTTTTCTTATTTTTATTTTTTTTAGTTTTTTTCTTCTGCTCTCCTCCTCCTCCTCCTCCTCCTCCTCCTCCTCCTCCAGCTTCTCCTCCTCTCCCTCCTCCTCCCCTCCTTCGGGGGAGCTCGCCAGCTGGAGAGGAGCGCGGCCGGGCGGCGTGCAGTCGGCGCTCTCTCTCTCTCTCTGGATCTCGCGGTCGGGAGTTTTTTTTGTTCGCGCCGTCCCACATCGTACCGAGCAACGCTTTCTCGCAGCGGGGAGGTCGAGTCGTGTGCGTGGATGCCGCGTGTCACGGGCTTCATGAGGGGAACAAGAAGTGGCATAAACATAACAACTCGGAGTTCTCGGATCGGCGCTGGGGCCCCCCGGCGGCGCCTCCGGCGCCGCCCCTGGCGCGCGCCGCGCGCCAGGGAGGGGGATCCAGCGCCGATCCGAGAAATCCGCGCGGACCTCCGAGGTTTTTATGTTTATGTAACTTTTTGTTCCCCTATTCATGCGGCATCCGCCTGGAAATTGCGACGCCTCCCGTCGCACCGGAGCCTCGCGCCGCGGACGCTGCCACATGCAGCGCATGCAGGCAGCACCGGCCGCATGCACATGTGCCAGCAGCCCGAGGAGGGGCGCTACGTACTGAAACAAAATGTGTTCGAGCCCCTCCGATCCCTGGCCCCTTCGATCCTCGACCACCCCCTCCATCCCTGACCCCTTCGGTCCTCGGACCCCACTGATCGACATATGTACAGGAGGCGCCCATGTTGCTGTCGCGCTCCCACTCGTCACCCCCCGTGCGGGGCGGCGGATCCTTCGGCCATGAGCGATAGACAAAAGCAGGCATCGGGCCTGGGCCTGGAACAAACAAACAACACTTTCGGTCCTCGGACCCCCCGATCCTCGGAGGTCCCTTCTCTGCTCCTCCAACCCCCTGCGATCTCCGGACCCCTCGAGGCCCCTGCGCGCTCCCTCCTGCGGTGCGGCGCCCAGGGCCCTCCCGCCGAGCCCCGCCCGCCTCGGCGCGCGGCGCTCCTGCCGCTGCGCCCCGCCGGTGGGGGCCGATAGCGTCGGGGGTGGACAGACCTCCCACCCTGACACGTTCGCCGTTTTCGGTTCGCGAGAGGGCGTCGCGGCCGTCATTTTTTTGGACGTCCGAAATGGGCACGGAAAGAATGGGCACAATGCCCAACAACAAATGTTGTCCCAAACGAACAGCGGCCGCTGTTGGGCAGGCGGCCCTCTGTCTCAAATGGACACGGGCCGCGGCGGCGTGGACAGCGAGTCCTGCTCAAAATGAACAGGAACTGCTGTTGGGCATTGTACCCATTCTTTCCGTGCCCATGTCGGGCGTCCAAATTTTTGCGGGTCCAGGTCCGTCGGTTTCGGTCACAGGCCGTTTTCACTAAGGGGAGGTTTACAAAAAGGGAGGTTTGTCCACCGCCGAAGGGGGGAGGTCGCCCTGACCTTCCAGGAGGGCTGCAAACTAGCGCCAGGGCCTCGACATCAGCAACTCCGGTTGAGGATTTGGGCGGTCCAGATAGGTCTATAGTTACGTCGGGCCTGTCCTCCTACATGGGATCTTGGACGAACAATAACAAATCGTCAACACAAATAAAAAAACAATTGTCA